GGCGGGGCGCCAAAAAACGTGTGCTTTAAAAAATGTGCAGGGGGGAGACACAAGAGGAGAGAGAGAGAGAGAGAGAGAGAGAGAGGAATTTCAGCCATTTTTGAAGTATTTATAGTTTTGCCACTATGCTTCCTTAGATAGTAACTTTTTCATTACAACTCCGATTTGAGTTTACAACGTGTCTACGGACTCATCTCGACACGGTCTACGTCATGGTGCCAATCATTTCCCCAGAATCCTTCAATATTAATAAGTGACCAAAATAACCCTATCCCTGAGGGCAAAATTTTAATTTTGTAATTAAATAAATTAATAAATCTAAATAGTCAATAAAATTAGGGTTGGGGTGTTACAAAATATCCGCACAGGGAAGAATTGATTCTTCACCTTTCAAGTTTCCTTTTCTTTCTTCCTCCTCGGTTCCTGGAAAAGAACTCTAGGTCAACGGACCACACCCAAAGGGTGTTCACCAAAGACCCTTTAATGTCTAAGTCAGTTAAATGATCTTGAGAAAAATTTGGAGATAGCAGAAAGGTCAGAGTTTCCTTTCACGCAGAGAGTGGGGCAGCTGGAGCCTTGTGTGGTGGCTCATGACAGTGTGATGTGAGAGAGAGAGAGAGAGAGAGAGAGAGAGAGAGGGGGCTGTGAAAGAGTGATTTCTCTAGGGTTTCAGGATTTAGTTTAGGATTACCTCATATGTGGTGTGAGGCCGTTTATTTATTGTCTCCTTACTTGGCTAGGGTTTGAAGAATAATCCATATTTACTTAGGATTATTTTTACTCAAAACGATGATATAAATTAATCAAAGAGGGTGAAGGCTGTATCAAGTTTACAAGCAATGAGGGTGAAGGCTGTTAACTATATCAAGTTTACAAGCCAAGAATCATAGACATTTCGTCCCACACAAAAAAAAAAAAAGAAAAAAAAAAAGCCAAGAATCATAGAAAACGATCAAGTGATTGAAGTCTACCAAGAAATGTAAAACTTGTCTTTCAATTAGATAAGTTTCTTATGAGGAGGGGAATTGCGTCCATCGAATTAATTATATGTGGTTCCTTAATAGATGGAAACCAATTATATATACACATGGCAAGCAAATACATGGAGAAACAAGGTACCCTTACACAAGATGCTCACATAAGTCTCTGAAATCTGTGTCTATTATGTCACACATCTTAGCAGGGAGGCTATTATGTCCATCCCCAATTTTTTTCTTAGAAGCTTGATTTCTTCATGAAGAATCACATTATATTAGAAGGTCCATGGGGATGGGAAAGGAGCGACGCAAACCTTCTCCAATTCCATTATATCTTTCCCAATAAGAAATAAAATAGATATTCAACATCAAATTTTTATTATAGGATACAAAACACATGCATAGCAAGCGCAATACATAAATGATATTACAAGAAGTGACAACATTACGATACAATGTCAAGTACACGTACCATCAAGAATTATGTCCGTGGACCATGGTTTCAGCTTCCTATCAAATATTCCTCTTCCATAAGTCGAAATGAAAATCTCAACAAGAAGAGGAAATTGCATCCAAATAAATAAGGTGATTGGAACACTAGCAAGGAAAATCATTGGAATAACAATCCATGATTGCTCATGGATCATAATGAAAAGGCCAGAAGAGAAGGCAACCATCATGGCGGCAATAGAGACAAATAGGGTGGAAAGGCCTATTATCATCTTTGTTGGTAACGATTTGAGGAAATCCTCTTCTGCATAACGAGATGTAAGGATTCCCAAAAACATCAACACTGAAGTTGTGGAAGAAAAGAGCGATATAGCATCTGATACTATAAAAGCCATAAATAACTTTGTTTTCAAGAATATGGGAATGCCTGTTTCTCCATTGTTTCCACCAGGGACTGTAAATGCTGAAGCAAACATGATGGTAATAATGAGAGCGCCTACAACTGTACACGAAGTTGCAGTTTCTTTCATCCATCTTTCTCCTTCCTTCACCAATTGCTCGTGGTTCTTGGTAAATAGATCATGCGGTGTCATATTCTCTTCATTAAAAATTTCTTGAACTCGGGGAAATACAATAGTCTCCACCTCCTACATGAATATAAGGTTATTACTCCATTTTCCCAACCAACCCTTGAATCTTTGAAATTTGAGAGGCCATATAAACAAAAACTATTAGACAACAATAGTACAAGAAGACTTGAGCGGTCACTGTAACTAAAAAAAGTCTATAAAAGGGCGCTATTAATTTAGGAAAACTATTTCATAAGAAAAAAAATATATAACTATGAATTGTATGGAATATAGTCTGACCTTGAACCATTGTAATTCTCTCTGCATTTGCAAAGCTGCACCTGAGATTTTATTGAGCTTTGCTAATGGGGATAGCATCCCTGCCATATGTAGCGTGGAATTGCGAGAACTATCTGCAACATTTCCAATCACAGTTCTTTTTTTTTCATCGAATCTATAAATAAGGCTATAAACCTTTTCTTGACGACACTCAATGGCAAACTGAAAGACGGTCCTTTTCATTTGATTAAAACTCCCAATGAGATCAGGACTTGTTTGTAATAGACGATCAACAAACTCAAAAATCCCTCTCTCGATAGCTTGGAAGATTGCTTGATCTATACCTCTCTTTTCGTTCTCTTCTGAACATTTTATCACTTCACACATGCGATCTAGGAGTTCAAGGGCTTGAATATGGATCAATTTCATTTCACGTATGCGGTTGATTCCTAGGTTGGCATTGAAAAAGCATGTCATAAAAATACTTCTAGAAAAAACTGATTGTTAAAAACATTAATGGAGAACAACATAAATAAGAAAAGAAATGTAGCATACCCAAAAGTTCAAGGAGATTTGAGATCAGACCTTTCAAGAAACCTGAAATTGTGCAATGCGAATTCAAAATCCAAACTATATGATGGCAAAAGCTGTATGTATTTCTGTTAATTAGATAATGTATGATATGAAAAATGTGAAAAAGGAAAAAGTAGTACCGCTCACATGAAAAAGTTTCATACTAGGTAAAAGGAATATTTTCATACACACATGCGAACATGGTATACTAAATATGATTAATGGATTCCTAATTGAATAACCAAAATATGATTAGATGTGGAGAGACAGAGACCATCTCTAAACGGTATAAAGGGTTGGCAGATGAACTTGTTTTCAATTTTTATTTTGATGAAATATCTATTCACCTCATCATGTTTTGTTCGATCATGTTAAACTGGATTATGAGCAATATCGATCGCTGACATGTTATCACAATGTAACTGCATTGCCTTCTCCGGTTTAAAACCCAATTATGTCAAGAGTCTTCTAATCCACAATAATTCAATAACTCCTTGAGCTATACCTCGATACTATGCTTCTGCACTAGACTGAGCAACCAATTTTGTTTTTTACTCCTCCAAGTGACTAGGTTACCTCCAACGAATGTAAAGTAACCCAATGTAGAGCGCCTATCTGTAATGGATCCAGCCCAATTAGCATCTATATATCCAACAACTTCGACATTCTTTGAGAACATTAATCCCTTTCCAGGAGCACACTTTAAGTACCTTAAGATCCGATCAACGACATTCCTATGAGAAACACTAGCTGAATGCATAAACTGACTAACTACACTCACAACTATGCAATATATGGTCTTGTGTGTGCTAAATATATCAACCTTCCAACAAGGCACTGGTTTTGTTCCAAATATGACTTTTTGGGTTCGCAAACTTGATTTTTCTTGTCGAGAGCTAAATTGCATTCTGGTGGTAAATCCATGTATACTTCTTCTTCCAAGTTTCCACGTCATAAAGCATTTTTAACATCGAACCGATGTAGTGGCCAATCTAGATTTGCTACTAGAGATAGTAGGACTCTGATTGTATTGATCATGGCTACTCGGGCAAAAGTCTCCTGCTAGTCCGCCCCGTACTTTTGTGTATACCCCTTTGCCACCAATCTGGCTTTATATCTTTCAATGGATTCATTTACTCTGAGTTTCACAGTATAGATTCACTTGTATCCCACCATCTTTTTTCTGTGAGATAAAGGCATGAGCTCCCATATGGCATTCTTCTGGAGAGCTCGCATTTCTTCATTCATGGCTTCTTTCCATTTTGAGTCTTATAGTGATTCATTCACACTATTTGGAACAGCTATGTTGGCCATCTACTTCACAAAGTGTACATGTAACTTTAATAATCTGCGTAGAGATATATAATTGTTGATGGGGTATTTTTCTTTGGCTTAGGATCTACTTCGTACTATACTCGAGGTTTCCCCTAGTTCTTCATCTCTAGAAGTTGGTATATAAGGGTATCTAGAACTTTTATGCTTTCTAAACGCAAATCATCATGATATACTTTATTAGTGTTACCAAACTTCGTACTATACTCGAGGTTTCCCCTAGTTCTTCATCTCTGGAAGTTGGTATATAAGGGTATCTAGAACTTTTATGCTTTCTAAACGCAAATCATCATGATATACTTTATTAGTGTTACCAGTTTCAAGGGGAGAAGTTACATGAACAACTTCCTCGACAGGTGATTAGGGTGGTACTATAGCGGAAGACTAGTCCGGAATGGGGAAAATCTCATCAAACGGGTCAACTTCCTCCTCTTGATTTTGACAGCTTGAAGGCGATCGGTCACTTCAAGGCTGAACTTCCATTGTGAAAAAATCTAGAAACTTAGGGGTGTTTGGTCACTACAACAAAAAGCTGGTTCTCAATTGTCCTCCTATGCTTCTGAAAAGTATATGTTGTTTTCCGGGAACACTACATCTATGGAGGTATATACCTTCTAACTTTGAGGGTGATAACATCGATAGTCTTTCTGATGAGGAGCATAGCGAATGAAAACACATTTTTCTAGTCATGGATCAAATTTGTTTCGTTAGTGATAATGTAAGTGGTTCAAGGTTTGGGGAGAGAGGTATTTGGATATAGTGGTGAAGTGTTTGAAGAGGAGTTTGGAAATTCAAGATATTTGAGGAAATCCTATTGATAAGGTAAGCTTTAGAGAGGATGACTTCTCCCCAAAAAGGCCGAGGCATGTTGGCATCAAAGAGAGAGAGACACGAACTACTTTCAGTAAATGCCAGTTCTTTCACTCAGCCAGCCCATTTTGTTGTGAAGTATATGGACACGAGTGTTGATGTATGATGTCGTGATCCTGTAAGAAATTGTTGACATCATGCTTCAGAAATTCTCCGCCATTGTCAGAACGGAGAATTTGGATTCGGGCTTGAAATTGAGTCTCCGCCATTTTATGGAACTATTGAAACTTTAAATTGACTTTTGCTTTGGTTTTGAGAAGGGAAGCCCATTTCATGCATGTGCAATTATCTATAAGCGTGACAAAATATTGAGCCCTTATAGAAGTGGAAATTTTTGCAGGCCCCCAAACATCATAATGAATAAGAGAAAATGGAACCAAACTTTTATTTGAACTTAAGGGAAAAGGAACATGATGGTTCTTGGCTAGTTCACAAATGTCATACTTAAAATTAGAAATATCAAAGCTGGAGAAAAAGGACGGAAATAACTTCTATAAATAACCAAAAGAACCATGTCCAAGACGCCTATGCTAGAGAGTTAGAGAAAGATAGAGAACCCTCCCCAATCACGGGGGAAAGGTTACAATATAGCATTAGACACCACAAATTGAGGAAATGGTGTATGAGAGGTAATTTATCCATGATCAAATGTCATATGGTCAATTGCTTATGAGTCAATGATCCATGTGTTTTTTTTTCTGGATGAAATATTTAAAACATAGTCTTTGGTATCTGTTGTGGCTATAGAGACAGATGCAAGAGCTAGTGTAGCCGGAATAATAGGACTTTCAGGATTTGTTTATGAAGATATATTGAGTAATTTCCTCATATTCCTACGTGGAGCTTTAGGGTGGTCCCACCAATCAGGGTACCCAATTTACTCACAACAACTAGCACAAGTATGTTTGTCTTCTCCACAGTTGGTGCACTTTTTCTCCGAACGAGATCCCAAGGCCTTATTCTGAGGAGAGCCACTTGTAAAGGTCTGCAATCCTTTGTGACGTTGAGCCACCATGACAGAAGCTTCCTAAGCACCAATCATGGACATTCTTTGTTGAGCATATCTACGAATATAAGCAAAAGTTTGATCAAGGTCTAAATTAGGATCTTTGCGTAGGATTTTCCCTCAAACTAGATCGAACTCAGGGTCAAGACCGGCAAGAAAAAGGTGAACGCGAAGACGATCAAGTTCCTTATGACACTTAATAAGGCCAACGGTGCAGTGCATGCGGATAGGACTCCGATGATCAATTTCGTGAAAGATGCCCTGCAACTGGTTGTAGTATTGATGAACAAGTGTATCAATCTGTTTGATAGTGAACGCTCGTTTATTCATATTGAAAAGATAAAATTCATCACCACTATCATAGTAGGTCTTCTTGATGGCAGCCCAGATTTCTTTGTCAATACTTAACTGAATGAAACGACTCATTAATTCAGGAGGCATAGAACCGATTAACCACCCCTCGACTCAAGAGTTTAGGAAGTTTCAGAGTGTCACTGGTTAGATAGCCCAATTTTTGCGTGCAACAATTAGCATCTCCATGACCTAAGACCATAAGACATAGTTGGTCTCATTCAGGATGACGCCGACGGGGACTGGGGAGTTGTCACTCTGAATGTTGACGATTTGATGGTTGGAAGTGGAAGATCCTCAAATGGGCAGAAGCTGTGTGTCGCCCATTACATCGGAACGATATAAAATTTAGATAAGGATATGTGTTTATGGATTCTGAAAAGAGAAGTGGATTTGATAAGAGGAATTTGATTAGGGTTTGTGTTTTAATGTGATGATATGATTTGAGGGCTTAGAGATGACCTAGGATCGGCCGTTCTTATACTAAGCTAAAATATGAATTTAGTTTGAATACTTCAAGTTAATTATATTCTTCTCCATAATGCGGTATATATAGGAATTTACAAGTGTGCTTTACAAGGAAATAGATACAATAATTAATTAGGAGAATTAGGAGAATTTCTCCTAATTATACAAGGATTGTCAACTATATGAAACAAGGAAGTAAATCACCTAATTAACTTAGGAAATAATTTTCCTTGATTTGATAGGTTAATTCACGTTAACAAGATACCTCTAGAGTCCCAAACATTCCTCTTAGGCTCTAAATAGAATTCTATCTACCATTTTTAGAGTCCCACAGACAAACTCCTATTGAGCTTGCTCTAACATCAAAGAGTGCCAGGTAGAGAGCTCGACCCCATATACCCAATATTTTAATTCTAGTCTCTACACGGATTAGTGTAAATTTGTGTCCTTGGATTGTTTTCTCCTCGAAACTGTGCATATGATCAATTTATATTTGCTCCTGAATATTAGTTAGTCTCCACTATTCTTAATGCAAAAAATAAAATACGAATACAAATAGGACTTAATATTAGAAAATGTGAAATATGATTTCAATTTTACTAGATAAAAACAGAGTGACTTTTGGGTTGGAACATACCTGACCAAGTGATATGCGTTGGATTGCTGCCTTCATTTCCTTCATTTTGAAGTCTTACACGAATATCACGGATGGCACGAGTAGGTTCTATGTGTATACCTTTCAAGAATATACAACAACCTCACTTAATACTTTAAATTAATATTTCTATTACTATTGTCGATATCACATGTGATCATAAATGATTTATATATATGTGTGTTATATATCGATATAGGAATCCCTCAAATAAATTATTTAGATATTATACCCATAACTATTATTGGTATTATAAAGAAACATTAAAACATATAAATTAGAGAAAAAAAGAGTTTTTCTATTTAAACCCTACACTTCTCTTTGTTCATCCCAACTTCTAATTCAAATTTTCACAATTTCTAATAAAACCCCATTATCTTCTCAAATTACACCTAAATACACACCCAGCAGGAAAAATAAAAAATAAAAGAATTTGTCTATTTAAACCTAACACTTTTCTTTGTTTACTTCAATACTTAAATCAATAAACTCTTAAGTTTTATTATTGTGTAAAGAGAAAAAATAATCATATATTGTCATGAGACGATCAATAAAACTTAATATGAAGAGTGGTGGGGTGTGTATAGATGTGCTAGGGTTAAATATTAAGTTAGATGACTTTTTTATCTTTTTACACAATAATAAAATTTAACAACTTAATGATTTAAGTAATGGGGGTTTAAATAGACAAACTCGAAAACAAAACTCAAAACTGGACAGATGCCCATTTTCTTAGTTTAATGTAGGTTTTTAATCACAAATGGTCCCTAAGGTTGACGAATTTTTTCACTTTCATCCTTAATTTTTTTTTTTTTTTTACACTAATGGTCCCTAAGGTTGACGAATTTATCCCCTTCCATCCTTAATTTTTTTTTTTTTTTTACACTAATGGTCCTTAAGGTTACATTCCGCACATCAAAATGGTCCATGTCATCAACTTCCATCCAATTTTATGTTAAAATGCTAATGTCGCACATACATGGGCCACAAATCCAATAATATAGAGCAACGTGTTTTTAAATAATATATTTCAAATAAAATTATATTTTTTAGGAAAAAAAGGATGAAAACTTAAATTTAAAAATAAACCTGCGGCCATTCCCTTCGGGCCCTCCCTGCCCCTCTGCCATTTCTCTCTCTCTCTCTCTCTCTTGCTCCCATGCCCACTAAGAAATCCCTCCCTCTTCCGAGTACTCCATTATAAAAAAAAATAATAAAATAAAAAACAAGAAGAAGAAACCAACACAATTTTAAATTTTAAACCATGTACACAGTAATCACAAAAGCTTCATCTCTCTCAGCATCTTTGACTAAAAAAGAAAAAAAAATTCCAACCATCATCTCTCTTTTTATTTATTTATTGATTATAATTTTAAATTAGCATATTCAGCTTCTCTAGACATCCTTAGTCATCCTATAGGTAATTTCGTTTTCGTTACTAGATTGATTTTTCGACTTCTTATTCTTATGTTATTTTGAGATTGAAATCATGTTCTAGGTCTGTTTTTGCTTTTGATTTGTATAGCTTTGGAGTATTGGGTTGGCGTTCAATTGGCTTTTGAATTAAGCTCAGTTCTTCATCCCCTAGATTTTTGTTGTGATTTCACACGCCTGAAATTGAGATTGTACTCCTATTATTCTTGATTGCATCCGTTTTCCATTTAGATTTTCTATATTCCCCTTCAATCTGGCCTCACCCTTCCATTGTGGCTACTAGTTCTAAACACGTTTTATTGTGTATTTCATGGAAGATGTGTAGATCTCTTGCTCGAATGCTTGCACCACCTCCTTTCTTTTACTTGGTACTAGTTCTTGTGGCCTTGGGTAGTCACTTCCCATGGTTGCTTTTCGATTGGCCGCTGCGTTCGTTCATGTGCATCGACAGGTTCAAATTTGGTGGTGTTGGTCAATCTTGGTTGGCTGTGTTTTGTTTGTGTGTTGAGGGATGTTGAACTTGTTTGAAAATCTCTATCCTTGTTTATGTTGTTCTTACTTGTACGGCGGAATTGTTTCTATGCTCATAGAGGTGGGGCGGTTTCATTTTTATTTTATTTTTATTGTTTGCAAGGGTTTGAATTTTACTATGCTTTAGAGTATTTCCGTCCACTTCGTCATGATAAAGGAAGGAATGATAAGTAATGGCAGATACTTTTTATGTGAATAGTGATTGTCTTACCTTTTTTATTTTGCTTTCCTACTCATTCCCATGGCAAGTAAAGACAGACACTATTCCCATGAGATATGAGGAGATAAATTTGTATGGAGTTTTGATGTGAGAAGTAAAGAATATGGCTAGGTAGTTTTATAAAAAATATATATATATGAATTTTTCCTCTTTCATTTTTTGGTATTTAAATTGGTGGATAACATCAGCATGAGGACAGCGCCCGCATGCAGCAGCTTAGACAATTCTTACCTTGGGCTGTCCTTGGGCCCCATTCTTGCCCAACCTCCCTTCGGCCCTAGCAAAACTAGTGGAAGTCCACTTAGTTGTGGGCTTTGGTGGCCTTTATGCTATTAGTGGGTGTTATGCCTCTGGTGGGCTTTGTGCCTTTAGTGAGAGTCTGCACTGAGTTTCGTGATTGGTGACCTCTATGTAGTAGTTTTATCTCTATGTAATATCTCTCTTTGAGACTATTCTCTATAAGCAAGAATATGAGATCTGTTCTTGATTTATCTGTATCTGTATCTGCCAGTGTGAGTGAATGGGTGTAAATTCCAGCGATTATGGGGGTTTTCTGAATTTCGTTGTTTATCTCTCTTTGAGACTATTCTCTATAAGCAAGAATATGAGATTTGTTCTTGATTTATCTGTATCTGTATCTGCCAGTGTGAGTGAATGGGTGTAAATTCCAGCGATTATGGGGGTTTTCTGAATTTCGTTGTTCGGGATTTCCCACAGCTGGTTACGCAAATAAGATGCCTTGGTTTTGGTCAATTTTGTATATATTAAATTTTTTTTTGGGGTTGAATGTGTGGGCTTAATTGCAAAAGTGGGCTGGCAGTTGGGTTTTGGGTTTTTGCTTTGTATGAAAAATTTGTTGACGTCTTTAGTAAAGCTTTGGGCAATATTGCAATAATATTAGGCTGCTTTTCAGTTTATTTTTGTATGTAATGGAATCACTAGTGCAGTGGTTTAGAGTAATTAATTTATCAGACAAGGTTTTGGGTTCGAGTTCTAATATCTGTATAGTGTGTGTGAGTTTAGTATACTATCGCCCCTCTCAATAGAAAATGTCCTTCAAGAAAAGTTTGTTCTTGTTTGTTTCGGCATGTTAAAAAGACAATTGGGTTTCTTTCTAGAGTTTGTGGAGTGTAGAGTTTTTCTATTCTTTTGCCCCTATTTTAGGCTATAATGTAAAACTCCCGAAGGACACCTTCTAGGGTCTGCTATGAATTATATTTCAAGGATAAGAACCGTGTATTTTTCAAGTCTTCATTTATTGATCATTCTTGTCAAAAATTAGTCAAATACAAAATATAAAGACATTTAGTCGTGACTAACAAAATAGACGGGTGCGGTGTATCAAGAATTTGTAAAAGGAAAGAGAATGTGGATATATACTAACAATTATAGATCCATTGTTGCCAAAATTTGAGGTGTGCTCCACTTGGGAATGCTGAAGACATACATGCCAATGTTTGAATCGGTGACAGCCAATACGGCCCTTTAGTAAGGACCAATTGTGGGCAAAACTGAATTAATTCCTGCGCAATATCTGCAATAGAGAGAAAAGAAGTTTTGTAATGTAAAAAGCATTAATCAAATTCGTTGTTATAAGTTAAAGACTTATACCAAATTTTTTGGCACCAATAAAGTGGCAAAGAAGTCCAGCGCCGTAGGGGCCTTTCTCTGGCTTTAGATCTTCGAATGGAGTGACAGAGTAGAGATAATCAAGGACATCCCAATGTTCATTGACACAAGCCAGGAGAATTGGAGTCGAGTTCTTCTCAGTGGCGATACTAAGTATTTTCTTGCTCTGTCTAACCATGCATTCAACCATTTTTATATTTCCTTTATTTGCAGCAATAGCAAGAGCTGTCCAACCAAAAGACTGTATTTCCAAGTCTTCCTTTGGCATCAATTGCACCAACTCTTCCACAATATGCTCGCGTTCAAATTCTGTTGCTATGTGAAGAGCTGTCTGGTTTGAATATGGAATTCTTGCTCTTACTGCGTTGGGATGTAGAGTAAGAAACTCCTTTGCTTTATTCCAATCCCCAATCCTGACAGCATCGAAGAATGGCTGATACTGATTGAAGTCACATACAATCTCGTCATATCCTGCACCGAGTTTTGGTTAATTAATTATTTCACATTGATAACATAATCCAGTTATTTCTTATTTGAATGAATTGTACTCGTGCATGATATGTATGCATCTTTTTTGCTTCTTTTTTTTAATAGTAAATTTGACTTTTTCCCTTCAAATTAATATTTTCTTACTTACAATCCATCGTTTTATTTTTCTTTAAATAAAACCCGTTTTTTATAAGAAAAATCCGATGACTAAGATCCAACTCATCAGTTTTCTCGAATCACGGGTGGGTATGCCATTCCCATCCTCATCCCCGTTAAGCTTTTTTCCCCCATCCCCACCTTCATACCCGCAATATTCATATCGGGAATTCCCCATCCCCACCTTAATTGGAGAATGGATTCCCCGACCCACCCCATTACGGAAGTAAAAACCAATATATAACAACTTTGTTGAAAGAAAAAAAAAATGTACTAAGGCAAGATAATGAATATATATAATATATGCTTATAAGACAATATAAAAATATTTATATATGTACTGGAAGTTAACTAAATAAATAAGCAGTGTGGCTTAAGTTTTGTATCAATTACATAAGTATATAATATATAACATTAAAATATAAAATATAAAACTAAGTCGGTACAATCACTTTAATAGCATATTTATATATACTATAATATATATATACCTCATCAAAAAATTAATATATATATATATATATATTCTAAACGGGGACGGTTCAGGTTGGGGATTAAAATACCATCCCCGCCCCTCCTCGAACACCATACCCAAAAAATTCCCCATACCCATCCCCATACCTGTTTTATGTCCTTCATACTCGACCCATTAGGGTCACATCCCCACGAAGACCCTTACTCGCGGGGAAAATTGCCATCCCTAGTTAAATGTTATATTTTTTAAATTCCTATAATATCCTTGATTACATTTTTAACGTGATTTGTTTAAGAAATTAGTGCAATTCAATGCCCATTAATTGTGTTTAAATTTTATATAGATTCCAAGGATTTAATGAGTCAGCTTTTTCCTTATTAAAAAAATGTAATTAACGCTTGGTGTAATTACTGCCGTAGGTAAATTAATATACCAAAGTAAAACCTTTAGCCCAAAAAAAAAAAAAAAACCATGGGTAAATAATTTACCTATACACATTTATAGGTATATCGTAAAATAATTTACCTATACTTATTTGTAGGTATATATTATATATTTTGTAGGGAATCGCAACCAAAATAAATGGGGTGATCAATATGCTATTAATAGGGAGTATTAATTACAATCGTAGCAGTTAATGACATGCTTGAAATATATTATAAATAAAATATGAAGGTATATGGCATATACTGTAATTTAGTTAATAATACTAGGACAAATCTATTTTATGTGGAAACGGTCGGGTGTGCGTTTCTAAATATGGTGGCAATGATGTAAAAACATAGAAATACTATGACCTCTTATATCCTACTAGTCATTTAAATTTGAAATTAAGTTTTACACATAAATTTATGGAATGACGGGTATATATATAGGAAATAGAAAATATAAGAGCCTGCTAGAAAGTGTGAAGGAATAATGTATGGAGTGGATATCAGCATGTATATCCGGCTTTTTAAACCAATAAAAACAAAGTTGATCTGAGGCGAAATGGGCCTAACAAATGTCTCCCTAATCATGTGATTTAAGTGGTCCCTCTGTCACATATTTATTTTTCCAGAATGAGAACCAAGTATACCTGGGTTGTTTGATGAGGTTGCAGATTCAAGCAAATCACTTGGAAGTAATGGTTGTGCTTTGAACTTTTCTGCCAAAATATCCCAAGCACTTTTGGCTGATTTGATACCCCTAATCAGCGCAAAAGTTTCCGGCCCGCACGAAACTTGGATTGTATGTAAAGCCATGGCGTTCTTCTTCCTCCAAGCCTTGAACTGGTCATCAACTTCTTCTTCTTTTTCTTCTTCTTCCACTACATCCCAAAGGTCTTGAGCCAACAAGTAATTTCTAACCAAATCACTCCAATCTACGTAGTTACGGTTGTTAAGGACTTCGACGACAATTGTACCTGCGGAGACGGCACTTGTTGCCATTCTTACTCAGTTAAGCTATCACACATGCTCCACAAAGAGAGACTGGTGCTATATATATA